AGTAATAGTAATAGTATTAGTAATAGTAATAGTAATAGTAATAGTAATAGTAATAGTAATAGTAATAGTAATCGTAATATTAATAGTAATAGTAATAATACTAGTGAGAGTAATAGTAATAGTAATAGTAATAGTAATAGTAATAGTAATAGTAATAGTGATAGTAATAGTAATCGTAATAGTAATAGTAATAGTAATAGTAATAGTAATAGTAATAGTAATAGTAATAGTAATAGTAATAGTAATAGTAATAAGTAATAGTAATAGTAATAGTAATAGTAATAGTAATAGTAATAGTAATAGTAATAGTAATAGTAATAGTAATAGTAATAGTAATAGTAATAGTAATAGTAATAGTAATAGTAATAGTACTAGTACTAGTACTAGTACTAGTACTAGTAATAGTAATAGTGATAGTGATAGTCAGAGTAAGAGTAAGAGTAAGAATAATAAGAAGAGTAATGCTAGTAGTACTAGTAATACAAGTACTACTCATAACATTTGTAATAATTTTAATAATAGTAATATTGATAATGCCAATGAAAACAAGAAGAGTAATGCGAATATGATGAATGCTATTAATGTTATTATGAATCATATAATCATACTAGTATTAAAAAAACAATAATAAGAAGACGAAGGGGAGTATGAATATGAGGAGGAGGACGAAGAGGAGGAGGAGGACATGGAGGAGGAGGAGGAGCAGGAGCAGGAGGAGGAGGAGGAGGAGGAGGAGGAGGAGGAGACATAGGGCTGTTCCACGGCTCCGCCCCATTGGGAGGCGGCGTTCCGGGGGCGGCCGCGCCTCGTCGCCCCTGGACGGCCTGCTCGCTTGGCCCCCACCTGGGCCCGAAAGGGTCCAGGCCTCCGAGGAGGAAAGTATACTGATCCGGTGGGAACCCAGGCCAAGAAACGCCCTGCTTGCCTCCGGGGTGCCCTGGGTTTCTTTCGGGGGCGGCAAAGAGGGGGGTGATGTCTAGGGGGGGGTGGATATCATGGCGGGGGCCATGATATTTCCCCAGATTTCATGGCGCCTCTTCTTCTTCCATTGCGTCCCTGCCCCCCCGCTGGGCCGCGCACATGCCGCCGGCCATGATTTGCACCCCCCCCTCTTGGACACCCCCCTCTTGGCCGCTCCCGACTCTCGGGTTTCGACGGTTCTGCTATGGGCAGCGTGACGTTCCCACACGAAAAAAATCAATGGACGTCCTGGGGTCTCGGGGAGGGGTTTCTTGTGAAAGGTTTCTTGTGGTCGAGCTCCTACTGTACGTACGGCTGCCCGTCGCTCGCTTTCGCCCTCTCGGCCCTCTTGGAGGGCCCCCGTTGCCGCGGCGGCATCCGCGCGTCGGAGAAGTCTGGTCCGCGCGCGTCTCCCGGGAGAGCTCTCCTGGGGAGTGGCGGCAACCAGCGGTGTCGTTTTGTTCCTCAGGGGGCCTCCAGCGCGGCGACCAGAGTCACGGCGTGCGTTTTCGTTTGCCGCTCCAGCTTCAGGGGTCCGTCTGGGGCCAGCCAAGACAGGGCCCGAGACGAGGATGTCCGTCCTGAGGACGGGTGTTCGGGAGTTCGGGAGCTCCTGCCCCGAAACAAGCCACGACGCCAGAGGCCTCCTGGAGGCTTTGACCGTGCAGCAGAGCAGCTCAGCCACGCAGATCTCGCAGCGCCTCGGCCGTCTTCTGTCCAGCCAGGGTCCGCTTGATCGATTTGTGCCCCCCTGCTCCCTGGGGGGTCGGGGCCACCATGGCGCACCGCCGCCTCCTACCACTTGTCGGCCCTCCCATGGCGCCGCTCAGCTTCTGCGCGATGTCGTGCCTCGTGACCACCGAGCCCGTGTTCACCCTGGAGGGGAGCCCGCGACGAGATGAGCGAGCCCTACGACGAGACCGACGACGAGAACGACGATAGAAAGAAATGGAGCGCCAAGCGGGAGGCGACTTCCCAGCGATGTCAGGTGAGCGACGCACCAAAAAAAACGGCGTCGGCTGCACCGACTCAACAGTGAGCTGCCCTCGCAAGGAAGGTCGCACGCGCCTTCTTTTCCGCGTGGGCGTGCCACGCCCGCGACCTGGCGCGAGCCTGGCGTGAGACACCGCGCAAGGTTGGCATGCCCTCTCGCGTGAGACATTTGTGCTCTTCCTCGCCCCAGATGTGCAGTGGCGACGCGCCGCGGCGGCCCCCGCCCCAGCGGGCCTCCCCGCAGGTGTCGGCTGCGCGCAAGACTGACCCTTTGCCAGGGTGACCTTTTGGTGCGGGCACACGCGGCCCCTCCAGCACTGGGCCTGCGCGCTTGGACTGGGCCCCGCCGCGGCCCCCCAAAGCCGCGAACCGGAGACCACCCTTGCCCAGGGGTCGCCCCTGCGCGTGTGGCCCCAGGCGGGCCGGCGCCGGCGCCGAGCGCCGCGGCAGCCCGCGCCTCGGAGGCCTGTGCTGCTGCAGGGCCTCTGGCGGCGGCCGCAGGGGCCGGCGCTGCCGAGGCGGGCGCCGGCGGCCCTGGCCCTGCCAGGGGCCCTGCTCGCAGAGCGCCTGGAGGCGCGGCCAGCGTGCAGGCGGCTGCCCTCGGCGCGGGCTGGCCGCCAGAGGCGCCCGCCAGGCCTGGGCGCCGCGGCGCCGCCGAGGCGCGGGGCGCGGCGGCGGCGCGATCGGCCGCCGCGGGTCCACGCGGCGGTGCCGCACTGGCGCAGGCGATGCGCCGGCTGGAGGGCATGCTGGCGGAGATGGCGCGGCCCGATCGCCGCGCTGCGCTGGAGCAGCTGCCCGCCCCAGTGAAGGCAGCGCTCGTCGGGCACATGACAGTCCAGCGCGCGACCGCAAAGCCGCCGGTCGTCGCCGCAGCCGGGCGCGTGGGCGATGTGGTGGCTGTCCGCGGCGCTGCTTGCCTGGCACTGCGCGGCGAACACGGCTCCTGCGCGGAACCCGCAGTCCTTAGGGGCGGCGTGCGCGAGCAGGCGGCCAAGCGCCCGCGTTCTGAAGGCGCTGCGCCTCGGCCAGCATCCAGGAAGCTGCCCTCCCGCCCTGAGGAGGCGCCTTCCTGCCGCCACAGCGGCGCGCCACTGCAGGGATCGGGGGGCCCCCATGTAATGCGAAGCGCTCCGGGCGTCCGTGGCGGCCGTGCCGCGCGGCGCGCCGAACACCACCGCTTCCGGGACGGTGTGCGCTCCGTGCGCAGCGGCGTGTTCCAGGCCACCATCTGCTTCGAGCACCTGCTCCTGAGGTCCTGCACCACCAAGAGCCGTGCAGTGGCGCAGCAGCTGTACGCCGTCCTCGCGCGCGTGCAGGAGTTCGCCTGCGCCAGCGGCAGCAGCGCCGAGAGGGCCGCGAGCGCCGCCAGCGGCGCCAAGGCCGGCGCGCTGCCGCGCGATCAGATCTCCCAGCGGCTGCGGCACGCCTTGTCAGGCGCGCTGGGCGAGGCGTGCGGGCAAGATGTATGTCCATATTCCTAGCGTCTCGTTTTTTCGGGGAAGGGATGCCAAAAACCCGCGACGAGGAGGATGTGGAACAACATCTGGCCTGTCGGGAGGCCAGATTTGTGCCCATATCCAGCTGCGCCTCGGGCTTCCACAGTGGCGGGGGATCCGAAAGCCCGAGGCGCAGTGGACATGGACCAAAATCTTGCCCGCAAGGCGGGCGTGCAGGCCGAGGTGCTGAGGCCGTCCTTCGCCACCTACGTGAGCTCGGGGACGTGGGCGGGCAAGATCGAGTCGCCGACCACCCCCTGCGTGGAGCAGGCGCTCCTCTGGCGCGAGCGGCTGCTCGTTGCCCGCGGCCGCGGGTGGCCGGACCTGCGGGAGGCTTGGATCCAGGTGAGCCCCTGGCAAATTCTCCTCCTCCTCCTCCTCCTCCTCCTCCTCCTCCTCCTCCTCCTCGTGAGCGACGCCGAAAAGCGGGGTCGTCTGCGCCGACATTGGCGCGTAAGCTGCCCGCGTTGGGCCGCGCGCAAGCGCCCTGGTCTCCAAGGCGGCGTACCGCGCAGGCGGCCCGCGTAAGCCACCACGAGAGGTCACTGTGCCATCTCGCGTAAGACCCTCCTCCTCCTCCTCCTCCTCCTCCTCCTCCTTCTCCTCCGCCTCCT